CCCCCTACAATCTTGAGCAATGGAGGTATAATCCTCCTTGGTGATGGCCCCTCCCTTCCATTGGGTGTACACCTCCTTTTTGGCTTTGAGATGTTCCTGGATGCTTTTGGTGAGCCACGAGGGCTTTTGAGCACTTTTGCCCCCTTTGATCCGCATGGGGATTGTCACCCTTTGGGCTTGGAGGATAGTCTCCTTAAGGAACAACCACTCTTCTTGGACTCCCAACTCCCCTCCCCTCTGGGACCTCAGTGCCTCCCTGACTAGTCTCCTTACCTCATTGAAATCCACCCTCCTGAAGTCCAGGGCTGCTGCCTTGCTGCAGGCCTTTGACACCCTGCACTGGATGGTAAATTCCAGTAGGCGACATTTGCCATCGCCCATGTGGTTGAGCACCTGCAGCCCCCTCACCAGGTTGCCACCTGTGGCCAGGACCAGGTCCAACAAGGCATTTCCCCTGGTGGGACTGTGCACCTCCTGGGTTAGATGGAGGTCCTGTAACTCGGCTAGGAACCTACATGAACGGTCAGACCTGGCTAACTGCTCTTCCCAGAAGATGATGTTCGGGTAGTTTAGGTTACCCATGATGACTCAATTTAAACTCAATTTAAATCAATTTTAATCTTGTTTTACACTAGTGCAAATCTTGTGATTTTTCTAAAGGAAGGTTGACACACACTACCAAGTAAACATTAAGATATCTGATTTACAAACGTAACTTCCTTTTTTTTACAAACTAAAGTTGGCACTTTTGTTAACCATGAGGATACACTATACACACTTTGTGGGGGGGGGATCTGCAGACCAGGCTTCCAGTTCGATTCAGAGAAATTAATGGGTCTCCTGATTCGGAGATTTGGCTGCCAAATCTCCTCCGACTTGAATCAGCAACTGAAGCTTCACACAGCCCTAATAAACGGTGCTTATTTACTGTTTTTTAAATGATTATTTGTATGGCAAACTTTTTATACGGAATTAAAATTATGAAGTCACCACAGCATTTTAAAGTTGTTTTTGCTAAACTCTGTAAAACATTTTTAAATTTAGATATAAAAGGAAGTAGTACCATCTTTAGTTAGTGTTTCAACATCTGTCCTTCTAGATTTTAGAACTGGTTAATTTTAGCTTCTCTCACTTAATTCTATTCAATCTGAGAATAAGGACAAACAAATCACTACAGGTTGGAAGACAGCTGAGAAACCAGTAAAAAGTTTTCAAAAAGCTGGAAATAGCAAGTACTTTTGTACCTCAGCATAAGGAACAAACCAAATACATTAAAGAGGACAAGGAGAACTTACTCCACAATAGCAGACACTGATGCTACTGACAGTTACTTCGCGCGTACCTGCTCTAACCCCCACAGCAAGCTAAAGTAAACCAAGACAACTGAATGAAAGAGGGTTAGGCTGCTCCAGTTTAAAGTTTCAGTTCCAGGGTAGGGTGGGAGACTAAAAGCAGGCACAAAGAGCTACTGTGCACCAGGCACTCCAGACTGAAGTCCCTATCTTTTCTACCCTGTTGTGAATGGCCTATCTGTCTGGACACATACACTGAAAGAGGCAAACATACTGCTTTGTTAATCTTCCAATTAGTTTCTCAACTAAAACGAAGATAAAGAAAAATTCTTTAACTACTGAAGAGACTACATATGATAAAACCTGATTTATCTACTTCACAAATTCTAGTTATAGATACTTAGCCAGAGGTTTATCCCAGTTACGTGATTTAGCTTTCTATAGCAGCCAGTAGTGCTCGAATGTTATTTACTTTACATTTTCTGGATTATACTTACGACTTAGATTAACAATTTCAAAAAAAATTCAGTACAGAAGTTCAGACAGACACTCAAGCACAAAAATGCCCACTAAGGAAGCCTAGCTTCAAGCATCAAAGCAGCAACACAGCCTTTTGACAGGACACAGAGTCTCAACTGATACAGTTAAGCTTAGTAGGGAACTTCTCTTCAGTGTACTAACACATAAAAAGTGGAAACTTGGGACAAACAACTAGGGAGGAGTATAAAGAAGTTCTGCTTGGACATGCAGGGATGAAATCAGAAAAGCCTAAGGGCCACTGAAACTGCAGCTAGCAATAGCAAGGGACATGAAATGTGGCAAGAAGGGTTTCTACAAGTATGTCAGCAACAAGAGGAAGATCAGGGAAAGTGCGAGTCCCTTACTGAATGGGGAATGTAACCTCATGACAGATGATGAGGCTGAAGTACTCAATGACTTTTTCACCTCAGTCTTCACAGGCAAGGTCAGCTCCCAGACTACTGCACCTGGTAGCAGTTTGGGGAGAAGGTGAGCAGCCAGTGGTGGCAAAATAATAAGTTAGGGACTATCTGGAAAAGCTGGACACATACAGGTACAAGGGCATGGACATGAAGCACCCAAGGGTGCTGAGGAATTTAGCTGCAATTGCAGAGCCACTGGCCATTATCTTTAAAAACTCGTGGTAATTGGAAAAGGTCATAGATGACTGGAAAAGAGCAAATATAGTGCCCATCTTTAAGAAAGGGAAGAAGGAGGATCCAGAGAACTACAGATCAGTCAGCCTCACCTCAGTTCTTTGAAAGAGCATACAGCAGGTCCTCAAAGAATCCATTTCCAAGCACATGGAGGAGGAGGAGATAAGGAAAAAAAAAAATCAGCATGAATTCAGCAAGGGCAAGTCATGCCTGATGAACCTGCTTGCCTTCTATGATGAGATGACTGCATCTGTGGATGCAGGAACAGCAGTAGACATGATATATCTTGACTTTAGCAAGGACATATGGGTTGGATGAATGGAGTGTAAGGTGGATGGAAAACTGGATGGACTGTTGGGCTCAAAGGCTAGTAAACCAAAACCAAATAATCAAGTTTAAGTAAATTAATAGCAAACTTAATACTGAAATACAAATGGTCTATGATAATAAGACAATATGACTAATGCAAATCCAACCAAATAAATAATAACAACAATCTTACATATTTGAAAAAAAAGATTAATCTTAAATTTACTAAGTCTTGAAGTCTTAAAAGCTTCTAACAAGTGGCCAAACTGCTAGGGAAAATAATTTTTAAATCTAAGTAAGAAGTCAACTTATTTGCAGATGGGTCATTTAACAAGAACTGTAGTTCAAAGCCAAAGAGCAAAGACTGCAGTGAACCTCAACTTCTTTATTGAATTACCTGACCCAACTCCAAAAGCTCATTAATAGAGACCTACACAAAATGCACGATGTCATGGAAATTGTGTAATTTGGCAGTTCCCTGTGAAATAGCTGATTTTCCATGAAAAAGCACAGGGAATTGGCTACGTCCAAAAAGCCAGCAAAGAGCCAGCAAAAAGCTGTCTCCTAGAATGGCAGGGGGAGGAGGAAGGGAAAAGAAAGAAAAACAGTCTCCTGAAGAGGGGGAAGAAGGCAGGAAAAGCTCCTTTCTCTGTCTCCGGGGGGGGGGGGGCAGGGAAAAGCCTGCCAAAAAGTCCTCTTCTAAATGGGCTGGGGCAAGAGAAGACTAGTCCTTCAGGTACTTGAAAGCTGCTATTAAATCCCCGCTCCATCTTCTCTTCTCCAGACCAAATAAAGCCAGCTCAGCCTTTCCTAAGTCATGTGCCCCAGCTCCCAAACCATTTTTGTTGCCCTACGTTGGACTCTCTCCAATTTGACCATATCCTTTCTGTAATGGGGGGCCCCAAAAGTGAAAATAGTACTCTAGATGTGACCTCACCAGTGCTGAATAGAGGGGAATAATCACTTCCCTTGATGTGCTAGCAACACTCCTACCAATGCAGCCCAGGATGTCGTTAGCCTTCTTGGCAACAATGACACACAGATGGCTCATATTCAGCCCATTCAACCCTAAGTGCAGGACTTTGCAGTTGTCCTTGCTGGACCTCAGGAGATTTCTTTTGGCCCAATCCTCCAATGTGTCTAGGTCCCTCTGAATCCTAGCCCTACTCCCCCCAGCATGGTGCCGTCTGCAAACTTGCTGAGGGTGCACTCTATGCCATCTTCCAGGTCATTGATGAAGACACTGAAGAGCACCGGCCCCAGGACCGACCCCTGGGGCACTCCACTTGATTATGGCTGCCAACTAAGACATTGAGGCATTGATTACTACCCCTCTAACCTCAATGCTCCAGCCAGTTTTCTATCCATTTTACAGTCCATTCATCCAGCCTGTATTTCCTTAGCTTGCCTGTAAGAATGTTGTGGAAGACCATACAAAAAACCTTGCTAAAATTAGGAAAGGTAAGAAGTGTGGGGAAAATGGTCTACATGTTTAAGGGTACATTAGGGAATCCACTTACTCTATTTACTTCATCCCTCCAAAGCAGTTAAGTACTCCACCATGAGATTTTACTATACATGTTCACAGCTTCACTACATAATTAAAGGTAAATGCAACTTCTGTGGCTTCTTTAGGATTCTTCCACTCCTAGAAATGGGGAGTGTCTGTATATACTGGGCAAGTAGTTCACTTCAATTCTAGATTCTCTCTGGGCATTTGGTTAACCATAAGTCTGACCCTAACCACAAGGCTTAGAATTTGTGAAGAAATTTTATAGGCCAGACAAAAGAATAACCTCACCCTGAATTTGTTAGTCAAAATGGGGAACATTACTGGATGAAAAGGCTGTCGTCATATTAATGAACTCAAATCTTACATGCATAACAATGGTGTGATAAAGTGAGCATTTGATCTCTTGGGTCTTTGGGTTTTTTTTTCCCCCCCATTATATTTTACTAAAGTTTACATGTTTAGTATTTCAAAACACATCTGCATTTAAACAGTATTTCCGGAAACCTAGAATAAAAGGCTGAATGTCTAATTAGGCAGAGCATCAGCCACCTTAATGTTTGAACCAGAAAGTTATGCATGTTTGTAAATTATCAAAAACATCTGAAACATTTGTATTTCATGATATGAGAACTGAAATAATCAAATCAAATGTAGTTCTTCACTGGCTCTGGAAAGCATTCCAAGAGGGATGTCCTCTGTTCACTTCCTTACCCTTTTAGTTCATCAGCCAAGCACATGCCAAACTGTTTGGTACCAGTTTCCATGCATCTTCTTATCATTAGCCGATAACGTGGCTCAAAGACATGAAGTGGACACGGGATGGTAGGAAAGGCCATAGTACACACAAAGATTGGAACATCTTTATTCAAACTGCAAAATACAATGTATAAGAAAATCCTGTCAGTCTCCTTCTAGGTAATGCCTTTAGTAAGCACAAGTCTAAATCAAGACTTCATCTGAAAGATTCTCTCAGACTCACAAAATGTAAAACACAATCTGGCAGTGGCCAGCACCAATATTCTGCCACTTTTACAAAATGCTAAAACTTCTAGGACTTTCCCTATTATTCATGTACTCTGGGCACAATGTCTTTATTCTGTTTTAAGAAAAAAAGACATGGAGAACATTCTCTCAAGTGTGCGCACAGGCAAATGCGTATAATTTGTACAGAAGTAACAGACGTACATCTTTTAGCTGAGAGTTTCCCTAGAATATAATACAATATACCAAGGGTGTCTAACATATGATATTAAGCCTACAGAGATTGGTCATCCAGCTCACTTTCTTCCCCAGGGGCCCGCTCTTAAGGTTTGCACCTGCTCAGCCTCACACTGCTGTACAGGGAAGTGCTGGCACAACACCTACTGCATATTCTGCCTGATTTAGCATTTACCATTGCCATTGGCCATGGAAATCAGGATACTCCAGGACAGAGGCAAACAGCAGGAAATACGCTAGGGGCCCCGAATACAAATAAACCTGATGGCTGCTTGTCATGTCAACACCACCTTCTGCAATGATGGCTCTGGCCACAGTGGCAGGGCTTCTTGCCACAGCTGCCTAAGTCCCCACAACAGCTGGATCTTTGACAGCCCAAGCAGCACTTGCAGCTGGAACAGGTATGGCTTGCAGGCATGTTCAAGGCAGGAAATATGGCCAACAACTAATTTGAACTGGACATCCCTGTTGTATGATATATCTATACACATACACATTGAAATGTAAGGTCTACTTCGGCTTTTTGGTTTGGTAACCATCGATCCCTCCAGATCATGGTGTATGCATGAGTAGTCACCAAGTCCTTTGACGCACATGCCTAGGGAGGAGTAGAGGCTACCCAGACCATCCACCGTTTGGGCCATTGAGACAGAATCCAAAGGCCAGACTGAGTCCAGATGTTTGGTGCCTCCATAGGTGTAGTTGTATAAGCGTCCAGGAATTGAACCTAGGTCTTCTGTGTGGCAGACAAGTATTCTACCACTGAACCATGGGGTGACTCCAGGGAGGATTTTAGGATTACGGTTAAGACAGGAACTAAAGGAAACTAAGAAGTTAGTTTCACAAAACTACAGAAGCTTAACATGCATTTCAAATTACTCTTCAACTTTTCCTGTAACCTTTTTTATTTGGTTGTACAGCAAGTAAAGACCGTCACTGATAGAACATCCAAAATTACTACTTATAGTGACCCTCCAAAGCACATAAACTTACCACTTACTTATTTTTCTTCCACTTCCAAATCTGTACTGTCCTTGCTTTGGAAAATGGCTTAAATTACTGTTGCGTATATCTTCCATCCATCCTAGCCTCTCCCCCCTGCTTCAAATAAGTCAGCAAGAGATTTAGTGAACTCACCTCACCTACTTTCACAAAAATGGAAGCCTTTTGCAGTGTAAAGATTAGGAAGCATTGTAAAAATAACATCTTCTAATAGAAAAATTGTAAGAATAAAACTACCTACTTTGATAATTCCTTCATTTCTTCTTCATAAATTTTCTTCCTTTCAGACAATTCCTCAGGCAAGTAACGAACTATAAGTTCTTCTGTAAGGACAGTCTTTTTATAAGTTCTGCTTGCCAAAAACTACAAAGGAGAATTAAACTAAGCATGGCAATTAAAAAAAAAAAAAAAACTAGTTAAACCATTGAGGGACAAGAGAGGCTCTAAAAACTAATCCAGGTAATGGGACAAG